AAGCCATTCTGTGATTCTCTGAAAGAACCTACCCCAAATCTCAGGCAGCAAGGCCCCTTCTCCTAAGCAGTATAAATATGTTTGGCTTCTGACAATCCACAGTGTGAGCACTGAGTTACCTTACAGTAATTTGGCTAATCAAGCCATTTCTTTTTCACAGCAATAATTCTAGTTTTCCTCTCACACTTCAAAAAATTCTGATAAACACCTGAGTATTTATTTCTGGCAATCAAAGGACATTCATACTGGAAGAACCTAAAAAAAGGGGGTTCAAATAGATTGTTCATTCTTCACAGCACTGAACACAAGGAAATTGGAGGGACAGAGTATGTGCCAGGGTATGAGATGGTTCAAAATCTGATTACTCAAACAAGGGATGATATGAAATTCTAAGTGGTTGAAGGTCTGAAATATTCACATACACCTTTTTAAAAAGCTTTGAGTTTTGGTTGAACCAAGATTTCTTTATACAGATTTTCTTTCCTAATTCTACAACTCTCATTTCACACAAATGATAAATCTGTCTGTACTGCTCTCATCTATTGTTTTATTGTAATACCACTTCTACTGCACCTCGGCTTTTACTTTCCCCTTTATTATTCCCTCTTAGGCTTGGCAAAATGATTCCATTATGATGTGAAACAGCTCCACCCTTTGCTTTTCCTCCTTGGCCAACCCTCTCATGTGCCTTTGTTGCAGTGACCAAAGCACCAGGACCTGGCAGTGGTAGGGAGCGACAGACCTTCCTTTCTCAGTTCCCAGCCCTTCACCACGGCATGGCACCTGCACACACCAGTGTTACACCTGACCCTGTGAGGTCTCATCCCTGATAGTGACTTTAATTAGTGTTATCCTACTTCCAATTAATATTGAAAATAACAAAAATAAGGAAGCCTTCCTCTTATCTACTGCTTTTAAATTGACCATCACAGTCCAGAGGGGCAACTTTGCCTGCATAAACTGAAACAATGTTTTGGCCTTCTAATTGATTAGTGACTTATTTCATTTGACCAAATATTGGTATACTAACAACTAAGCACTCAGCCTTTAATAAGATGAACATTTATCAGATTACACAGCAAAATATCACTTTGACTAATAAAGTTGCCCCATCTGCTTGAAACAAGTATTTTGTCGATGTACTTGACTATGGATTTCTTGAATTTCTTTTTCATTGAACATGTAAAAGCAATAGTTTAATTTTAAAAATTACTACAATTTCAATGCATTTATTCTGCAAACATCATGCCTAAATTGTCACTAACTTTTATGTACACTTAATACAAGGGAACCTACTGGGAGCCAGGCTTCAGCCTGACTGATGCATGTGTGATTGCACTGGGTTATATTTTGCAACAGATTTTGTTCTGTAGGAAGACCTCTGGACTCTAGCAATCTTTCATTTTATCTTTTGTAGAGAAATTAAAGCCTGCACACCAGGACAAGTTTTCTGCTCGCAGATAGCAAAATGGAATTGGCATACAGGAATAATCTTTTTGATTTTAAAAACTGGACTGCATTTTTACCATGACACCTGACATTTACTTCAAATGCACAGTGGTCTGCCTCCTGGGTTTGAGAAATCTCATTGATTTTTAGAGAGATAATGTAGGACAGTTAATATACTCTTCAGCTCTATAAGGAATATGATTATTCCTGTCTGCTTGTTCATTTATCCTTTGTCTCACATAATCACTTATCTCTCTTCCCTGTTTCAGAAGGTATATTATTTACATGCTAATAATCAAAATAAATCCTGAAAACTGCGTCTCTGTACCACCTGCTACACCCAGCACAGACAACTCCATACTAGAAAGGCTTGCTTTGCATCTTGCTTTTCAAAACTATTGGCTCCATATTGAAACACTGTTGTAAAAACTATTACTTACAGCATTCAATAGCTCTATTTACCATGAATGGTCCAGCTTTACAGTTTGTAAACAAAGCTGGATGAGATGGAACTGGTAAGAGGCAATAGAATTGCATTACCAGGAGACAGGAAGTATTCAAATGCCCAGAGAACACCTAAAAATAGCAGTGCCTCTAAGCCATGTTTGGAAATATCAATACACAGGCTGCTAGCAGCAAGCATCTCAAATTACTTTATAGAAGACACTTATGAAACAAAAACCATTCTGTAATATCTGTCCCATTCAGAATAAAAATTCTTATCCTTAGTCATGGCTCAAATGCTGTTTATTTATGTATAAATATTTTTAAATATATTTCAGATGCTCAGACATATTTCTAAGTCAAAAAGACTCAATCAAATAGGTTGAAATCCCCATTTCTAAGAGTTGGCTGGTAGCATACAGAATTCAATTTAGTGGGGATGCCAAAAGCAGAGAGAATAGCTGTCAAACATTACTAACATTAAAGCTTTGTGTGCTAGTATGGCAGGATTTAAAAAAAAAAACAAGGGCTGTTTTCAACCAATATTTTTTCTATTTTGGATAGTCACAGCTAAGATTGTTCATTAAAATCACTTCAAAAAACTCAAAATGACAATATTTTCAAATTCTAACATTAGAGTTTTCTTGGTTTTTAAACCATGAAAATAAAACATTAGGGAAGTTGCTAATGATGACCTCCAGCACCTCTGAAGTTCATGCCTTTATACACAGAATAAATCTGTACAACTCACGTACAGTTATTACACTGTGAAGAATATATGGTTTGAATATATTGGAAAAAAGATCTTTAAAGATGTCTTTATTTTTCCCACCTGGCCATTAATTTTGTTGCTGGACATGAAGTCCATAAAAGCCCTCTCTAATAAAAAATGAAATGGTTTTACATGTTCATCTACCACTTTGTTGAAAAAAAAAGCTAATCAAATTCTTTAAAAATCTATTCTGGCCAGCTCTGTTATCACATATTCAACAGGGTAGAAAGGACTAAATGCCAGCAAATGCAATTCCCTCTGTATTTCTTTAACCCTCCCAAATTTAATTTTTCATTCATAGGACCCAATAATTATATCACTTCAGTGACTCCACAGTGAGTCAGAGAGAGCCAGCATGCAGGGTACAAATGTCAGCATGTGCCAGGGATGCCTTGCAGGTAAAGCAGCTGTTTAAAAAGTGCATCTCAAAACCAATATAGTGATTCTCCTAAATATAGGATTTTACTGATCGGAACACCGTTGCTAAAGGAGAAAAATAACTTTGTTTTGACCTCAAATTCTATTAGCTGTAAACATAGCAGCATGGACTCCACAAAAACATTAGAATAAATTGAGCTTTAACATAATGAAATATTTAGAGTTCAGCTGATTACTCATTTCTGCTCAGCAGTGGAATAGGCTACCAGTCCCACTTTCCTATGTGAAATGAAATATGATGCAGTGTAAGTTGATTGGTAATAATTACAAGCTGATGCTCTTCTACCTCCTGAACAACAGGAGACCTGCGACATCAATTGCAGATTTTCTGTACTGTAACGATTCACACACAATATATGCAAGTTGTCAGTGTGGCTAGTACATATTCTGCAATTTATCTAAAAATTCATTTAAAAAGATTGGTTTCCAGATTTAAGTAGGAGTTTAAAGCTACAGGATGATTCCTGAATTGGTCCTGTAGACCAAGCCAGAGACACCATAATAAAATTTCCTTCCTTAAATCTCAACTGAGCAAATTATTTTTTTCTCCCCCTCCTTTTTTACCACCAAATTGTTCTTGAAGCTCAGTTTTATTTCAAACATCAATTTATTCATGAGACGATTTGAAGAAGAGTCAGGGAAATTTATTATGACTCCTTGGATTAGAGAGATAAAGAAATCTAGAAGGAGAGTGTTTAAGCACTGAGACTGCTAGTCCAGGGTTTGAGCAATCTCCAGGTTTTTGACAGTCACAGCTTCACTGGACGAGACCCTGAACAACCTGATCTACCTTAAAATTGGTCCTGTTTTGAGCATAATGGCTGAATGATGATTAAGGCTTTATTTATAGAACTATCTTCCAGATGACAGCCCTTGAGCCACATGCACTTTTCCTGCATAATTCCATTATTCAATCTAACTTTCAATGACTAATTACCATAGCTGTTTTACATATTTTAAATAATCATATTTTAAAATCATAGATCTAGATAAGAAATGGAAAATTTTGACTTTCGAGAAAACTATTTCAGACTTCACTTAGGACAGGATTATTTACACTGTGACCAATTTATTTTCTGACTGCACCACAGTAAATTGTAATAGAAACTAAAAGACAATAACATGACATCTTTCCTCTGTGGAAACTTTATAGTCTCCCTTTTATCACAAGGAAGAAAAGCTTTGAAATATGAACTAAGAGCAGCCAATGATAGGTTATTACCCATGCCTACAGAGTTCCACATTTATATGGGAGGGAATAAAAAAGAATTGACATTTTTTAGACTATGCCAATTAGTGCAAACAAAATCTGTGTTCCTGTGTTAAATAGCAGCCTTTCTAATACTGTAAAGATGCAAGAATATTGTCGTAATTGTGAATTATTCACATTTTACACCAATGTCTTAATTAAAATTGAGGCAGCTGTGCACCCAGAGCTGCGTGCTACGTTTAACACACTCATGTACACAGATATTCACCAGCACAGGGCTAATATTTTCTTTCAGTACTTCTTCATCCTTAGTTTTGGACACTGGTTTGTCAAAAAGAACTCATGCATACATTAAGAAAACAGAGTAAGACTTCACTGGGCTTTTCCATGATAAGTGGGAAGATTTTACAGCTAACACAAGTAAATATTAACACCAGTCAAGTGAGATGAATTGAAGAAATGGCATTCAATATATCTCCATGACAGATATTCTTATCTCCATGAAAACCAAACCTCTCAGCGGAAGTACCAAGAAAGGATCAGCACGAATTTGAAACTTCATTGCTTCATCTCACAGACTGAAACACCGTGCTGTGCAAACCCACACCTACTGAACAGCTCTGTGTGTGTGGGTAGCTCAGTGGTACCTGACACCTCTACGGCAGCTTCAACAGAGAATGATCTTACCCTTCCACAGAAATGGTCCGCTGCAAGCTCACTGTGGGTGGACGCGTTGCAGTGCTGTGCTGGGAATGACTGTTCGGCCAAGGAAGAATAAAGAAAAGCATTTGTTAAAGAAATAGAAGCTTCTCTCTTGCTCATATTGTATCTAGCATCTTAGCTAATGGCAAAATAGATACAACAATCGGATTGTCTTACACGTGTCTAAAGCATTTTGACTTCAGTGGTGCTCATCTGTTCAAAAAGGGCTTAATTGAATGATCTCTCTTGTTTAAATTCAGCTTTCATTTCTCATTAAGAGCAGAAAATGAAGATAATAACTCCCCCTTATCTTTCCTACTCATTTTTAAAATACATATAGATTCACACAAAGAGTTTAGTACTTTAAAATAACTTAAATGCTAATTATTTCACTAAATATACTAAACATACAATGCAAATTTAATTTCAGAGCAAAAGGTAAAACACCAAATGATAATGTAATCAATCTAATTCTCAGTGCTTCTCAGTAAAAGAGAACATGCATCCTTAGAATTGCACCTTGGCATAACTTCAACACTAGTTCTATCAGATTTTCAGCAGCTTGAGTCTTTCCACTTGGATTTTTATTAATCTAGGACACAACATTTGGGAAAAAAAACATGGTATTTTTTCTTTTGCAAAACACAGACTCTCTGAAAAAAAAAAATTTTTATTGATTTTGAGTTCTAATGTGTTATACTGACATGACTAAGAAACGTGAATTTTCATATGTTATACTGATATGACTAAGAAATCTGAATTGCAATAATTATATTAAAAATACACAGTATGTGCTAATTTCAGTATTATAGTATAGTAGAATAGTATTGTAAATACAAATGGATGAAACAGAGCATCAGACACAGGCAGTTTTCTGATAATAAATTGTACTCCTTATCCAAGACATCCTGTTTAAATAAGATATTAAAAAGCAGAAGCATCTGGGTGTATTTTCTGATTAGTTTAAATGACTACAGCACATAGTGAGGCCCAGTATTAATAATGCAAAGTACACAATAAAAATAAATCTTTATGTCAGTTTTATATCATTGATTCTAATAACTGAAGACTGTCTTGCTTTCAAGATTTGCAAATATCTCAAGCTGCTTGTTCAGAAGCAACACAACTTATTTTCAATAAAAGCACTTCATTTGACATTAGTGAGCAACACATCAATTTTACATGAATTTCATCCTGCAGCATAGAGCATAGTAAATACTGTCTGACACAAAAGATGCCTTTTTTTTTTTTTTTTTGTGTAGCTCATGGAGTTGTGATGCCTATCACTGGACAAAAGTCCTACTGCTTCTCAGTATCTTCTGTTGTGACAATTACGAATTATGCTCATTTTATGTTAGTAAAGTATTCATCCCTATTGAGAAGGCTTCAGAAGGTTTGTGGAAAAGTATTTCCCCTTCTAAGAAGAGTTGCAGAGCCTTTTATCAGTTTCATAGCAAACTTAGGAGTTTCATGAGTTTCTGGGATCATAGTATGAACAGAATATCTGAGTGGGACAAACACTGCAGAATATTATATGAATATTGGTTAAAATTTCACATTAAGTTTGCATGTACAAGGAACTTTACACCCCACTGCTGCCAAGTGAGGGGCTCATCTATCTGCAATATTCCATCTACTAGAAACCTTTTCCATTCCTAGGGATTTATGACACAGTATTCAAATGAGCCCTCACCTTCTTTCATAAAAATAGTTCAGAACTTGTGATATGAACACTCATTTTCTTTTACATAATTATAAAAATCAAGTTTGATGCTTGATATAAGCTTGTGCCTTCTAAGGTATCATTGTCAATATAATGACACCTTAAAGTCTAAAATGCAATTTAGTCATTGCTCGACACAAGTTGCTATTGGAGACAGAATAATAGTCTGATATGATTCCTAACTGACTTATTGAAAAGATAATCTCCTGGTGAATTCTATCAAACTGATGGAACCAGCAGAAAGAAGCTGATTTCATCACATGCTTAATACACTTGTGCAGTTGCCATGTCTTTTGCAGCACAGAAGAAATAAAGGTTTCCGCTTCCAACACTTTCTGTGATGAATGCCTAAACATATCCCTACTGAGATATGTAAGCAGCATGGTTTTAAACTGACAGATCAAAGTATTTGGAGTTTGACATTTAGGCTTACAAAAATTCTACCATTTCTCTGAAATTATACAGAATGAACCTCCTACTAGTTTTAATAATATAAAGTAACAATATTTCCATATACTACCCAGTACTACAGCCACACAAGACAGATTTTCCCTGAAGAAAAGAATTTTACATCCTGTAAAAGACCAATTTTAACTTAAATCCATTTTATTTTAGTTCATTGAGACATGGGGAATATACTGTTCTTGTAGGACAATTCATAAGAGTGAAGAAACAAAGAATGAGATTGTAAATTAATAACAAGGGGCAAAACTGGGAGCAAAGAATCCAACGTCTCTTTTTAATGGATCTAAATTGCTTTTTGTTTTAAACTTATTTCTCAGGCAAGGTGAACCATTTCATGGCTTCATTAAGTAATAAAAATAGAGCAGCTTGGTGTTCACATATTTTTAAAAATGTTTGTAATGAAAATAATCTTATCAGTAAGTATTACAGAAACAAAAAAGTGAGTAGCCAGTCTCCTTAGCTTTAATTCTCTTCTAGGTCAAGAAAGCTCTGAAGGCACTTTTGCTGTGTGGGTGATGCTGAATCTGGAGGCAGCATCATAAACCCTTTTTTCCCCACAGGGATCAGATGAACCACCACCTTTTCCTTCCCAAATGATACCTCCACTGATACACAATACGCCAGTGAAACACCTGTCTGGATGAAACAATCATGTTAGGGAAATATTTATTGTGTGTTAAACTTCCGTAATGCAAAAATATGGAAAAACCACCAGGGTCTGACAGGGACGACTGCATGATGCTCAAATCAGTTCATCCCAAAGCCTGCCTATTGCCAGTAGAAGAAATAAGAAGGTTGTTGCAATCCTAAATTTTTCCTCTTCTCTTTCATTTAGATAAAACCAAGACACATTGTCTTTGCAAAGAGAGCACTAGAAAAGTCATTAGCTTTCCTCTCTCAACCCTCAACCTCTATCAACAAAGAACAGCTGTCCTCTCTTTGCTATAGCCCTGATTTAGGAACTCTTTTGTTTTCATGTATCTTTATTCTGACAAGTCAAAACTGACAGCATTGAAGTTATTTGCTTCCTAAGTCCATTGACCTGCAACTTCTCATAAAGATGCAGCGAAGCAGCCGTGGCACAGGCTGGGCAGAGACCTCTCTGAACACTGGCTTTGGAGCAGCTATTCTTCAGCTCCCAATTCTGAAACTGCCACCCAGAAGAAAAATATACAAACTCCATTTGTCTATCAATATGTTCTCTGCAGGAAAAAAAAAAAAGTCCAAAACAAACAACAAAACCAAACCCATACTAGAGCTCTGAGTTATTTGTCATTCACAATACTAAAACAAAAAAGAGTGATAAATGTAATATTAAAAAATTCCACTGGAGACCAGGGAAGGCAATGCTAATACTGTTTGTTTTTATGATGTATTCTCAGCATGTTGTTTCTTATGTCAAGGATTGAAGGTAGCACTGCAGTTGTTTATAAAGCTTTTAAGCCTTTGATTTGATGGATGTAAGAGTTTAGGAAGGCAACATGCTTTAATTCCATTAATGTGGAGTTTTAATTCAGCTCAGTGAAGTGAAACCAGCTTTTCCTGATGCTGCCAACAGCTAAACTCCTAACTTAAATGAGTTTTTGCACTCCTGTGGGATTAATTAGAAGACCAGAGATTGCTTTTTTTTGGCATTAATTTAATCTCAGCTACAAACGGTTTGATAATATCCAGTACTGACAGTTACTGACCCATATTAGAAGTGTCAAACTAACCAGACAGTCTCCCATCAAAGGCAAACAGGAAACTTCAGGGAATAGGACATTCAACCCTGCTACGTTCAGATCACCCTCAGGTAACAAAGCCAGACATGAGATGTAGTGCTGTTTCCATGCACAGGCACATGCAGTGAGGATTTTAGCAACATAACTCAATTTTTAAAATGGCATCTGTAAAATAGCATTGCTAGGCTAAATAGCTACTCATTGGAAAACAGAAAAGTAACAAAATGAAGGATTAGGCTGTCACTCTGCCTACAAATATATAGAATAAGCCCACACTACATCTCTATTCAGGTTCTCTGAGGTAATTTCACTGCACAACTAAAGTAAAAAAGGTTGCTAACTTATTCCTCCATCCCTGCCTGCCTCCCTTCCCGAAACAGTGTTCACAAAGAAGTGGTTAGCCACATTCTGTGACCTGAAGTATTTGAGTTACTGCAGCTCTAAACTAGCATCATTTAGCAATAAGGAAGAATGCAACGTGGAGCTGTGACTCAGAGGAATGCTTCAGCTCCTGGAATAAAGCTAATTATCACCTTTGTTAGCGGTGTGCCCAAGTCAGGTACCTGATCTTCAAAGTAGTGAAACATCCACTGACTTCAAATCTACTTCCTTATGGCTGAGGTAATTGCAGGAGATAATGATTACCTTTAAAATATAAAAAACTTGCTTTTCTGAGAGGGTTTGTTCTTTCAGTTTGAGATACAAGAGTATGTAAAACAGCAGAAGAGGTTTAGAATGATGTGGGGGGAACTGAAAGTAATTAGGCATGCTGTTTAAAGGAGTAGAGTGGAGAGGATATATTTTTTAAGCAGTTTCACATGTAAAGTTTACATGTAGGGTAAATACAGACAAAGTATTTTGAAGAACTCAGCATTGAGTAAATTAGAGATAGTGAGTGAAAACAGTTAGAAAAAACCTAATCCAATCCTAAGTGATTGTGTTTCTTGTTCATATCTTCATATTTTGGACAAACTTTTGGGTCTTTAGAAATGGGATGCCTAAATCTCCACAGCATTCCAAGACATTGTATTTCTGTTAAAAGAAAAAGTAAGCTTAAGTCTTCTATCAGCCTTAGTCATAATACTACTGTTGTTATTATTGCTATCATTATTATTTATGATACTATAATGATTATGAGGAAT